CCTGGTACACTTCTGAGAGGATGGCTAGGACCACTGCTGAGGGTGCAGTGCATGGAGATTTATTGTCCAGACTGAGATCAGCAAGGTCAACAGGGAACGCTGTCTTGATGGTGCTGGATTTCTGAGTCTCACGACTGCTGGATAGAATTTGGAGCTCAGTCCCTGTCACCACCATATTGAGGGGAAGAGGACCCCTAAGAACGATGGATACACCCTGGGAGAGGCTGGAGGAGGCATGTGCCCTGGAACCTCTGGGCAGGAGATGGGGGCACGGCATCCTCTCCCCCTGTGGCACTGATATTTCATCCTCTCTCTTCCTCTCCTGCCCCTCAGGGCTGAGCCCACTGAGTTCAGGAGGAGATTTTGGTAGCACTGCCCCGTGAGGTTACATCACTGTGTCAGTGTAACTACCCATTTCCAAAGCACAGTAATAGTCGGCCTTGTCCTCGGGCTGGGCCCTCGTGATGGTGAGGGCGGCTTTGTTCCCAGAGACGGTTCCAGATGAGCGACTGGGGACCCCAGTCGGGCGGCTGTTTGAGCTGTAGATTAGCAATCAGAGAGCCTGGCCTCGTGTCTGCTGGTAGAAGCAGGGATAGTTACTAGTAGTGACAGTCCCAGGGCTGAGGCCACAGGTGAGTGTAAACGTCCCTTGTGGAGACACTTTCAGGAACGACTGTTGGGTCACCACAGTCTGAGAATTCACCCCTGAATGTGACAAGCGAGAGACAAGGGCGGTTATGGAGACCAGGGTCATCCCAACACCTGGCTGTCGATGTCCCCCTTGAAAGCAGTGTCCCGGCCCCTGACCTGAGCCGTGAGTGAGGAGCCCGAGCAGAAGCACCGTCCAGACCATGGTGGGGACGCTCCTGGGACGTGGCTGCTCAGCCTCCTGGGTTGCACTGTGGGGTCCTCAGGCCTTTTCATGCCTCCTGGACCCACAGGGAGGAGAAGGAACTTCATGCAAATCAGCTTCTTCACTCTCCCTTCCCAGTGTCACCGATGTCCCCTAGGGGAGGTCTAGAGGGAGCAGATGCACAGATGTCACCCTGACCCATAAGGCATGGTGATGAGGCAGTGAGTGATGGGGTGACGGCTGAAAATGAACTCCCGCTGCCCCTGTGACCTCAGTCCTGTATCTCTTCCCTGAAGAGTCTGAGGGCTGTAAGAGGAGATGGTGACAAACTCTCCTCCTAGACCCAGAAGTCTCATCCCCCCACAGCTATCCCCATCCCTGGGACAGGTCTCCCTTCCTCTGTGAAATCCCTGCTTGACTTCTTCCGAGGAGCTGAGCTGTCCCTCCTCCTCCAGCAGAGAGTCCACTGGGAAGTCACAGAGCCCATGTCTGTAGTGAGAAGGGACAGCGGTATCCCCTGACTCAGTTCCGGACCTGTTCCCAGGAGCAGCAGTTGGGGGACCAGGGCTAGAGAGGGGACATGTAGAGCTACAGAGCCAGGCTGGGGGTGAAAACATCCTTTTTTTTGAAGATTATCTATTATATGGGTCTCTTTACTTTAACGAGGTTTCAGGAGAAAAGGTGACAACGTCAGCAAGAAATTATGACAGCTTGCACTGTCTAATACAACAAAATTGGAATTCTCTACAGTTGCCAGCAGGGATTCCTGACTTCTGGAGGGAGCCTTGAGCCAACTTTCTAAACTGTCTGGAGTATCCTCAAGGCACCAGAGTGGAACTCAATGCTTTCCTTGGGGGAAGGTCTGGGTTGCCATGAGGAGCCAACACTGGCTTGAGGGTTTGCAGATGGCATATGGCAGAGGACCCCAGGGCCATGAGCCCAGCACAGTGAGGGAAGGAGCTGAGAACAACTCCCCCGGTGGCTCTGGGTGATGCTGCCAGATGGGTAAGAGCTTTTTCTGGACTGGGCTCCTTGGATGTGAAGGACCAGGCTGAGGCAGCTGGCCGTGCTGCCTAGAGCACCAATGTGCTTCCTAGCGTGGTGTCCAGTGATGGCATCTTCTCTGGCAGTGAGTCAGGGGTCAGCACTGAAACCTCCACGTCTCTCTCCCTCAAAGGGGCATCTGCCCTGTGGTTTAAGACTGTTTCACATCTGGTCTCCATCCACAGTGCATGTTCTCCCCCTCACAGGGACTCCCCAGAGACCCTGGCCTCAGCCCAAGTCCTCTCTGGGGTCCCAGTGGGTCTTTCTTGAAATCAGCTGGATTCTACTCAGACTTTGAGGAACTTTTCCATCTCTGTTCAAAAATAATCTTGAGCCCGAATTTTCATATTTGATCTGGTTGCTTTTGGGGAGATTTTCTGTTGTTTTCTAGAACCAGTAAATTAGATTGGTCTCTGTGCCTTCTATTTTAATTCTAATAATAGCTCTTTGTGTGTATGGTGGAGTGCTATCCTGATGCCTTCCAGCTTGGATTTATTGCTAGAGAAATGCCTGCTCACTCATTGCGCAGATGCACACACATACCCCGACGACACACAGACACAAAGAGAGACGCAGAGTCGGGACATAGTGTAGCACAGTCTAACCCAAGTCCCTGTAATCAGGGAGAGAAGGTCGCAGAGAGAATGGGATCCCCCATGACAAGCAGTTATTATTATAAACAGGAAGTGCAATTATTAACATGTAATATAGAGTGTGCAATGTGTAACATTTAAGATAATACAAAATATGTCCATAACTGTCTATTATATAATATATATTTTATTCAACAGTATGAACTATATTGACAATATCTTATACATGCTTATGTAAAATACACTGTTATATTAAATGTATATATTTGATATACACTATAATTTAGTAAATATATTAATTTAAAAATATTACACATATAATCAGTGCATGTAATTTTATGTAGATACTTAACATATTGTTTTATTAAATATGAAAATTTAATTTACTACATATTTTTAACTAATATATAAAACTTCATGTGTTACATATGTAATTACAGAGACCCAGAGATTGTGGACGGCTCACAATCTGGAGGAGAGGTAGAGGTTACAAGGGGTAGAACGTGGGGTGACCAACCGCCCATGCAGATCATAAGAACATAGCAGCACAGAGGCTCACGCTTCCCATCTTCCTCTTCGGCCCTAAGGAAGTCCTGTCCAGTGAGTGAGGGGTTGAACGAGGGATCAGGACCCTGACAGGGATGCCCCAGAGCTCGTCTTGCTGAG